AGTTGTAATGATAAAGAAAAACATACTCAAATAATTGCAATTATTGAATCATCATTAAATATTGGAGCTGTTATTGGCTATCTTCTTTGTACATTTGTTTTTGAATTACATGCTAAAATATGGCTTATATTACTTGTTCATGTTCTTTTATTAGTACTTGCACTTTTTATAAGTCTTGTCTTCTTACGAACTCGAGTAGAAATTGATTCATCATCATTTAATCTTTGGATGAAAATTAAACGTCCATTTATTGATATTCGTGATTTAATTATTGATCTAAAAAATAATCATTTAATAATATCATTTTTTATTTTACTTTTATCACTTTTTTTCTATGAACTTTTTCGTATGGGTTCATCATCAATTTATTATTTATATTTACATCGTATGTCATTTAATGATACGCAATATGCAACTTATTTTACTTGTGAACAAATAGCAATATGTTTAGCATTGATTTTCTTAGCATTATTAAGACGACAATGGAAAATTAATGATTTGTATTTATGTATTATTGGTTTATGTCTTTCATTAATTGGTCCTTTTTTATTTGCATTTGCTCAAAATAATAAACCAATGATTTTTGCAGGTAATAATGAATAATAGTAGACAAAGACGTTTTTGTTTTCTTTTATTTATATAGCAATTCCTTCCAATATGTTTGCTGTGTATTTTCCAGTATGTTTAAGAGCAGTTATTGCTCATTTAGTGCCTACAAGAGATAAAGGTATAAGAAAAGATTTTAATTCTATTATAAAACTAATATTTATTATTATATATATTCAGGCAAAGCATTTAGTTTCGTTGCATTAATTCAAAATCTTGATATTTTATTGGGTACTATTGTTTGTATTCAAATTTATCGGGCATCGATTAGTTTTTTTGCTGGTCTTGTTTTTATTATTGGTGTTGTTACAAGATTAATTGCATTAATATTAATTCTGTATGTTAATTTTAAAAAAAGAAATTATTTTTCAATATTTATTTATTTATTTTAGTATACAAGCATTTTGTATTAGTCATAAACCAGAATTATCAGTAATTGTACCATTGAATATAGTTGAAAATCCGCTTTTAGATATTCAATCAAATAGTGACGATGAATTACTTTCATAACAAAAAATTTTTGTGATATAATCTTCCTTTTTTTCTCCTGTGACAATCAAATGCATTTATAAATTTTAATAAATAAAATTCTTTCCATTTTTTCTTCTAGATCAAATGAGAATTCTAGTAATTAAATTTTTATATTTATTTTTTATTATTATTTATGATATTAATGCTTTGCCTATTGGTCAACATGTAAGTTTTAATTTTGAATTTTGAATTAAATGTATTTATATGAATTATTTAGAAATCAAATATTGAAAATAGTACATTAAATGCCGGACAACGTGCTATGCTTTCGGAATATCATATCGATAAATTACCAGCTGGTTTGCGTATTTCACAAATTATACCAAAATTTCAAGTACCGAAAAAATTTAATTTAACTAAAATAGCACAAGATTTAAAAAAATTTGGTATTCATAGTTTAAAAGATGATAAACATATTGAAGGTGTACCATTAGAACGTGATGGAAAAATTAATTTAGATTTTCATAAAGAAATCTTTTTGGGTAATCATGAATTATTTGAATCAGATATTCAACATGATGAAAATAAACGAGATAAAAAATTAGAAGAAATATTTAATGAGTAAGAGAATAGAATTTATTTATTATTATATTTTTTTGTTTATTATTAAGAGCGGATACTGATCATGATCAACGTTTATCAAAAGACGAATTACTTAGTTATGTATTAAAAAATGTTAATCAACATTTAAAAGAAGCACAAGAAAAAAATTCACAATTATTTTTATTAATTGATTCAAATCAAGATGGTAAGATAAATAATATCAGTATTAAATTTTATACTAATGTTTCAAAATAATAAGTCCAAAGAGATGAGGATGTATATTTCAAAAGAAAAAAGAACGATGCATCTTTATGATAAACTAGGATGCAGTAAATATTTGACTGGTTGGTTCAAAGAGACTAAGAGAATGAAGAAATGCGTGCTTATTCTAATAGCATCGATACTGTTACATTATTATTTCAATTTCCGTATAAGGAAACATGCGTGTTGCAATTCAATTATGATATAGAATATTATCATTTGTAATCATGAGAAGTTCATTTGATTATTTTAGGTAAAGTAACATGGCATGAATATTTTGCTTTATATGTTAAATTTCATAATGTAAATACAACTGGTATTAAAGAAACGGATACATTTGATTTTATTCAAGCACCATTTGATAATAATTGTAAATACTTATTTTTTTTGAAACAAAAAAATATTTATCTTATGTTATTAGTTCAACGAGAATTAGTTAAAATTCGATATCGTTGGACAGAAGCTGATGTTGCTGGTGATAATGAACTTGATATTGATGAATTTCTTGCTTTTCGTCATCCAGAAATAGCTGGTCATTCATATAAACATATTGTTGATGATCTTATTTTACAAATGGGTTTGTAATTGTTATTAAATATTATTCTGCTAAAAATTTCTATCTTTTTTAAATATTTACAGATCGTGATGATGATAAAAAATTGAATGAAACTGAATTTGCGTTTTTACCATGTAAATAAAACTAATTAATTTTTTTTTGAAATAATCTATAAATATATATGGCTATATTTAGCAAGTGTATTAGAAGATGGTGGAAATAAAGAATGGATTGAAATGGATAAACGATGGTTAGAAGATCAAAAACGAGAATTTCATGAAATGGATGAAGATAAAGATGGAGTATTAACAAAAGATGAATTATTAGTAAAATTATTCGAATTTTTCAATTTAATTGATTTTCTTTTTTTTATTCTAGAGAGCTTATAATCCATTGAATCGTGTTCATATAAATAATCAAATAAAAAAATTATTTTCAAAAGTTGATGATTCTCCATCAGATAATGTTTTAACATTGAATGAAATTCAAAAACATGCTGATGTTTTTACTGATATGCAAATTTTAGATACTGAAAAAGCATTACATGAAGAAATGTAATAAGATTTTAATAATGAACATTTTTTTTCCATTTTTATTTTTCAATTACGTAGTATTTCTTTTGTGATCTCAGTATTTGTTTTCTCTTGTTATTTTTGTTTTTCGGAATTTTGTGCAAATTTTGAATGAAATCGTAAATATATTAACTGACTGCTTAAACTAATTTTTCCTAAGACAAGACCTTGAAATATTAATACGGATCAATTCTTCGGAGGGTGTATTATTTTTAAGGAATTCGACTAATCGATACAGAAAGACATATGATTGATGATATCGCGTCTGAGCAATAGTATAATGTTCATTGAATCTAAATATAAATCAGCCTTGTTCTTTTCGAACTCTACTTTCTTTACACAAGATATATGGGCAATATAATAAATTATGCAAAAGAAAGATCTAGAAATAAAAGATTCTTTTCTTCTTTAATTTATTGTTAAATTTTTCATAGAAACTGAATGATGACAAGACAACAAATTGTTATACTTCATTGATATCTAAATCATTATTCCCAAACAAAAACAAAGAAAAGGATTAATTCAGTGTATATTCGATAAATCATGGTGAGAATACATATTCTTCAAGGATAAAATTTTTCATGCTTGAATAAGAATAGAGCAGAGATTAATTATAATATTGAAAATCTTAATATGAAATAACATTTGGATCTCCATTTATATCTGTTGGCATAGTGCTATTGTTTGTATTGATAGAAATTGTTTGATAAATTTTGCTGTGTGAAATTAATATACCTTTTTCATCAGTTACATTCATTTCCTTATATAATTGTTTTTTTCCATCAATAATTAATTCTTTAATGCAAGTTGTTGTTTGTGTATTACGAGTTTTCTTTCGTCTATTCTTTTTTAATGATATTCTAGGTGATAAAGATGAACTATTCGTTGTTGTACAATTAGGTTCAACAGCATCTAATTGTTTTCTATTATCCATCCAATTATCCATATCATCCAAAGGAAATGATGAAACACCTAATAAACGTTGAAAACGTTGATTCATAGCTGTCATAATTTTATTCATATTTTCGAATATTGATAACATAGACGAATTATTATCAATTGAATCATGAAAATGATTAGATAGAAATCGTTGTTTAGATGTGGATGGATATGCTGTCCAACCATGAACTATACCTATGAGAAGTAGTAGGCAAGTTGTTTGTATTAGAGTAGCCATGAATATTCAGTATATATGTTTAACGAGATATGACACAGATGTATAAAAAGCAAAAAATATTATACATTCTCTTATTCGCATTCATTTATATACACATTGAAGAAATAGCGTCATTTTCTTTTCTCTCTCTCTCTCTTTGTCTATTTTTCTCATTGTACTATTGATACAATAGATAGATTAATACTCGAATTTATTATGCAATATGTTTGTATTTTACCTATAGAATTCGTACTAAGTAGTATGAGTATTTTATTAATTAAAATCGACTAATTCATATGTTAACAAAAAGATATATCGTATATTTGTAACGAAAGAAATATAAACATGAATATTCGCTTTTGAGAGAACTACTATTAATTATGTTATGTCCGATAGCATATGATAGATGAAAAAACATTCGAGAAGGTTCGAGGCATATTAACATTATCAGATATATCGAACCACGAAAAAAAGTAGTACCAGTTAACCATTTTCTTTTCTATATGAAAGATATTCACGGCGTTTGATTCATTATTTTCAAAATTTATCTAAATATTCATTTAATTCTTACACATAGAAGAAATATGACTAGTCTGACATCTATATATTCTATATGATATTTGAATAATTTATTATTTATTTTTAGAATACTTATTTTTATTCAGAAGTGAATATATGAAATATGGTACGCAGACAAAATAAATTTATTATTCTAGTATTTTCATGAAAAAAAATGAATAAAAATATGTTTATGATCGTTCTTATGAAATAGTATTTTTACACATTTCTAATAAATACTTAATATCAAAATTGCTCTTAAGTTGTAACAAAAGAAGAACATGTCTTTTGAATTACTTATATCCTATAGTGATATATTTTAAAAAATAATAATTATTAATTCTTCTAAAATAGTATCATCAAATTTAAGAATGAAAATTTGATTTACTATGATAAAATGAACATTCACAAGAAGTGAAAATAACTAAGAACATTGATCTGTTAGTAGATTTTCATTCAAGTTCCATTCATACCGTAGGAATATTGAACTGAGGAATACTTTCAAGATATTTCATAGGTAGCAATATATTGTAAAGAATAAACGAAAAGTTTACGAAGATTTTATTATATGTCTATGTGTATTACAACAATCCTACAAAAATTTAAGAGTTTTATTCTGATTCTCTATATTTCTGTTTTCGGTCGATTCTTAAGATATTCTGCAATTCTGGGTTGTTTTTCAACTTCAGCACGATTTTTTTGTAACCATGGAAAATTGTTTAAACAATCAGCGTTCATTCCAACAAAAGTTTCAGCGAAATTTTGAAAGAGTAAATCTGCCCATGTCAACTGATTACCAACAAAGAAATGACCACCATTACCATATAGTTTACCAAGAGTTTCAAGATTTTGTAAATGTTTTGGTAGTTCTTCACCAAAGAATTTTTTTGTTAATTCTTCTTTTTTAGCTTCATCTTGCTCACGACGAGATGGTATAAACGCCTTCAATAAATCATATATTGTGTCAACAACAGCATCAACTTGTGCTTGTTCGAAATTGTCTTTACCAGCTAAATGAAATTGTTTAGCAAGAAATCTTGCAATTGCTGCTGATTGTGGTAATTTGACACCATCAACTTCAAGAACAGGCATTTGACCTAATGGCATCTCATCTTTGTGTGCTGGCCATTGATCTCGTTCATAACGAACATCTTCATATTTTTCACCAGCAGCAGCAAAAATCAGCCGAGATACTTCGGCAAAACCACGAAGATTAAAATAAGAAAGTTTGTATGATGGCATTGATGTTGTTTCAAGTGAAGTTTGTTATAGAATAGAAAAAAAGTAACTATATGTGCTATGTGAGGTGTGGTATTTATATGTAAGGAAGGAAAACCATCGCATGCGTTTTTTTTGCTTCGTCATTATAATCTTGACGTCGTAGAAAGAAAAATAAAAGAAAACAGAACAAAAATAATGACAGTGCATTTTTTTCTTTCTATTTAATATAAAAATAACTTTGTATATACCCACAGAGGTGTGGTTCTCATGAAAATAAATGATAAAACATAGATGGTTTATCTAATAAAATAATATAGTTACAATACATGTATGACTCAATCGCGATTTACATTAGTTCTTCAATACATCGACAATAAGCTGTTTACTTTTTTACTAGAAAATACATAAATATACAATCTATTTGAGAAAATAAAAGCTGATTAGACTATGTAAAGAAAGAAAAAAAGGATTTAAAATTCTACTTTGTTTATATATTTAAAATATCACTAAAGAAAAACATAACAATAATTTATGAATGTTTATAGATTTGACTTTTGTTCTTTAAAATTGTGTTCTGGGTCGATTCTTAAGATATTCTGCAATTTTGGGTTGTTTTTCAACTTCAGCACGATTTTTTTGTAACCATGAAAAATTATTCAAACAATCGGCTTCGAATTCGGTTAATAATTGTCCAAAATTATAGAAGAGTAAATCTGCCCATGTTAATTGTTTACCAACAAAAAAATGACCACCATTACTATATAATTTACCAAGAGTTTCAAGATTTTGTAAATGTTTTGGTAATTCCTCACCAAAGAATTTTTTTGAGAGTGCTTCTTTTTTAGCTTCATCTTGTTCCAAACGAGATGGCATCCATGCCTTGAGTATATCATAAATTGTGTCAACAACAGCATCAACTTGTGCTTGTTCAAAGTTGTCTTTACCAGCTAAATGAAATTGTTTAGCAAGAAATCTTGCAATTGCTGCTGATTGTGGTAATTTAACACCATCAACTTCAAGAACAGGCATTTGACCTAATGGCATCTCATCTTTGTGTGCTGGCCATTGATCTCGCTCATAACGAACATCTTCAAATTTTTCACCAGCAACAGCAAATATTAACCGTGATACTTCAGCGACACCACGAGCATTAAAATAAGAAAGTTTGTATGATGGCATTAATATTGTTTGAATCGAGTTTTTCTAGAGAATAAAAGAAGAGTGAGAATGAATTCTGTGTAACATTAGGTATTTATATCAAAGAAAAGAAAGCCATATGATGTTCTATTTTTTTCTGCCTTGTCATCATAACATAAAAATTTCAAGAACGAGCAACAGAAAATAGAACAGGAATGGTGACAGTGCATATTTTGTTTGTTCTTTGCATAAAAATAACTCTGTATATACTGAAGGAGGTGTGTTTTTCATGAATATAAATGGTAAAACATGGACGTTTTATTTTAGAAAGTAGTAAAAGTTTGTTTCGTGGCTATTATTTGAGAGGAGTACTGAATATATAATATCTAGTCTGATTTGTTTTTTTCTGGTATGTTTTGTTGAGGAAAATTAAATTATGCTTAGGTGTGACGAAAAGGTCTCAGAACATTAAAGAAAGATATAAAGATAAATGGGATATTTTAAATTTAATCCTATTAAATATTGAGTATTGTTTCCAGTATTATTTGTACCAGACTCAACTTTTTATAAGAATTTGTTTAAAAATTTTTGACTTGTTTTTCAAAAGACTTTTTAGGTATTTTGATTATTGCATGAGGTAATCATGCTTTATTTATTTATTTGATTAAACTATGTTCGATACAATTAGTGAGTCCAAAACTACATGGTAT